GACTGCACAAGGTTACGAATTTTCTCACATTCTATAAGTAAATTAGGCAATTATAACGGCAAAATATAAGTTTGGGAAAGGTCTAGATTGCCTCGAAAGGTATATCTGCTCTCTGACCCACTAGCACTCGTGTTTGCGTGGCGTAGTGGAAACATGTCAAAATTATGCACTGCACTGCCTGAATTAGGTTTTAGGAGGGGATGAGGGCTGTTGATGACACCCAAGCTGGGCTGAAACTGCAGTCCACTTTAGTTGAAGGCACTTTTCTGTAAGGAATGTCAGGTAATGTTCATTGGCATAGTCAGGACTATTCATAATCTTGTGAGAAAATTTAACTATCAGTTCTTCATCACCTTATGCAACCTAGGCCAACTAGAACTGTTAACAATAATTACTAAGCGAGCTATAAAGAGACACTCGATAATAAGTGCTGTCCTCAGACCTTTTTGAGACTCCTATTTATCATATGCTTGGCAGGCATAGAATAGGGCTATAACAAGAGTAGAGTAACATTGTTGTTAAGTGCAAACTAGATCCTTTCAGGTAATTCTACTTGTCTTCAACGGTATGGGTCATTGTTACGTATTGAACCAATAGAATACAATTTCCCCTCTTGGTTAACTTATTTAAGCCATATGACACATATAAGAGAATCACAAATACACGCCAAGATGATTGTGGTAGATTTTGACCACCATTTGGCTAAGTGAGATAAAAGTAAGGATCAATGAAGGAATTAAAAGACGTAAAAGTAAGAAATAGTACGTATGGTGAGTTGATAAAGAATAGAAAGACGAAGATAGGAAAGAAAAATATCAACAAGTGTCTTGATTTCTCTGACGTTTTCATGGTATTTGAAGGTAGGGATATTTGTTTTTTTCGATTTACCCAACCAAAAATGCAAATGAAGATAATGTATGACAAAACAGCTAAGCATAGCACCTTCTATGCCCTACTATAGACATTTATGCAAGTCTATGTAGAGCCAAACAGTATGACTTCAGGCATAGCAACAACATGGGAAAGAGTAAGTGGAATGTGCTCAAGGCTGGCTTTTGGCTGCAATGAAAGTACATGCTAGGTTCAATATAACAAGTAGAGCTCATCGAAAATTATCAACCATAAGGAGTGCTTTGAACCAGGCTCTAGTTACAGTGTTGGTTCTTGGCTATACACTTGATGTGCGGTAGCTTAGATTTAGGTGGATGCTGGTGGTCTTTCCCTTGTTTGTTGAGTGATTGTTGGGCTTCGAAGCTCTGGCTATAAATGAGAGCAATTGCGAAGTCTGCACACTCCATGCCATCTCACTTTACCGCATCGGGAAAGGAGCGAATGGAAACTGTACATACAACAATATTCTTTTGTGCCCATAGAGCAGGTCTAGTGACTAAGTACATAAGGTGAAGAGAGGGTTATAAACAAGGATGACAGTCATAGTGAAAGATTGACGCTAATTTACATGCCTAGACGAAGCTCGCCTCTCGGTAGGCAGCTTGTACATACTTTGTGGGCTTGTGTCTCTCTTCTGGCGGATTGCCGCTCCGAATAATCGAGCTGGAAGTGACGTTTGTGGATGATGTCGTGTCATCCGTTTGAAACTCGAAGCCCTTTTGCGTGATCAGAGGCTTCTCGCCAGGAAGTCTATAGACCTCTGATTGCAAAGGTGTCTGACCTGGTAGTTGTGTCAGCAGCAATAGTGATCGACTGTTGGTGTCGAGTTTATTGGTGTTATCTATGGCCACACCCGCATTCGCTGGATCATAGACTTGATTATCATCCTCTTCACCGTCCAGTTCGAGATCGTTGCCTTCGCTACCAATCTCCAAGTCAATCGGCCGGAAGGCTACAATTCCTGGCCGCCCCAAGACTTTCGTTTGCAGGAGGCCAAATGAAGAATCTTCCTTAATATGAGGCTCTTGTTGCGACAATTGCAAATTCGCATCTCTTGGGAATATTTCCACGTTGAAGGTTGGCCGGGAAGATGTCGCGATCAGTTGTGACTTTGACCGAGGCAGCATCATCAATGAGGCTGGAGCAGTTGTCAGATCGGGTGAGCGTGGCCGCCATCTGGGAGAAGATGCATATGGTAGCATTTGATCTACAGAAACCTCAGAGGCGGTAGCGTTACGCACGTCGTAGTAGAGGTGGCAGCGTCTAGCCTGTGTGGAGGTGGGCAGCAGACTTTTATCAGCTTGCTGGCCATCTTCAACTGTATCTCGAACCGTCCACTCGTTTGGGTCCCTGCATCCGCTTCCCATCCCTTCCTCCCTCAGCATGCAGCCCATTCGTCTAGTCGGCTCAGCATCCGTCTGGTCATGAAGACCAGTGCAGGCCATGACTGGTCGATACTTCTCAGGCCCAACTCCAGCAGCTCCATCTTCCCATCTGCCGGATGCCAGGGTGACAAGCCCAGCATCAGGTGTTATACCGCCACCGACCGATAGCCCGACAGCGTAGTACATTGAGGAGTTGGGTAGCCCTAATACAGCTTCAGCACTACCAACCATAGAATTGGTGGGAACAATTGAAGAAGGGTTGGTTGTGAGGAG